TAAAAAGTCTTTAATTATTTTATTTGATCTTTTTTTCTTTTTTTAATTAACAACGAATTTATGGTTATGATGATGATGATCAGACTAGGGTTTCTGATAGATTTTCTATCGCATGCTGCTGTTGTTGGTTTCATGGGTGGAGCTGCTATCACCATTGCACTTCAACAACTCAAGGGCTTTCTTGGAATTCCTAGTAAACATTTTACGAAAGAAACTGATATTATTTCAGTAATGAAATCGGTTTTTGGATCCATTCATCATTCCGTGAGTTTTTTTTTTCTTAATTATATATCATGAAACTAATTATATTAAGTTATTAACAATTATTGGTCGTTATATATTGTGTAGTGGAACTGGCAGACAATAGTGATTGCATCGAGTTTCTTAGCTTTTCTACTCCTCACCAAGTACATTGTAAGACATTAAAGTTTATTAGAATTATAAATTATAAAATAGATAATAAAATGAAGAATTAAAGATCAGTATCCTAATTTTTTTGTAATTTACTAAACAGGGAAAGAAGAACAAGAAACTCTTTTGGGTGCCCGCGATTGCACCTTTGATCTCCGTTATTTTATCGACTTTTTTCGTGTACATCACCCATGCAAACAAGGAAGGTGTCGCAATAGTAAGAACTTGATTTTGACTTTCTCAATGTCAAATTGCTTGATTTCAACTCAATAACTGAATTAGGCCATTGGCAAAAATATGTTAGCTGATTGTAATTTAACATTTGATTAAGAACACAAAAATATCTTATAAATAACTTATAAGGGGGTGTTTGGAATTACTTTTTAAGTTCAAATTCTTTTTTTTAAAATGACTTTTTGACTAGTAATTTTTTCCAAAATGAAATTTTTAAAATGTGTTTGCATTTGTTTTTAAGGTAAAAACCAAATTTTCAGTTACAACCATCTCAAAAATTACAAAAAGACACCATTTGTTACTTTTGAAAACCCAACTTTCCTCCTACATAAAAAATTATTTTAAAAGATTTTTTTCATTAACAAACATTTTTTGACTTTTTTGAAAAATTAAAAGTCTAAAAGTTGTTTTAAAACCAATCCCAAACACCCCCTAAGCTAGCTTTTTGATAAAATAGCTTATAATTAATTAAAAATTAGCTTTTTAGCTAAAAATTAATTTCAGGGTTTTTTTAACTAAAAACTAATTTTTCGGATGTAATGTCAAAGAAGGCTTTAATATGTTTTGCTTTTTGGGACGATAATTAACTTTATACTATAAAAGGAAATAAAAGATTTGTATATAAAGAAAGATTTGTTGTTGAAAGTGTAAAAAGTAGATATAAATAAACAATAATAAATTTGAAAAATACAAGTTTGACTCAAAAAGTCAAATTAACCGAATTTGTTTTGGCAGGTGGGACATATTGATAAACGAATCAACCCGCCGTCGCTTGACAAAATCTATTTCTCCGGCGAAAATCTACTCAAAGGGTTTAAAATCGGCATTGTCGCCGGAATGATAGCGTTAACGGTGAACTCCTACCCCACATTTTTTTGAAGAATCATATCGTGTTTGATTGATTTATCGAAGATTGTTGTTTATGTTTGATCTAATTACAGGAAGCAGTTGCAATCGGAAGAACATTTGCTTCAATGAAAGATTACCAAGTAGATGGAAACAAAGAAATGGTAGCACTCGGAACTATGAACATCATCGGCTCAATGACGTCATGCTACGTCGCAACCGGTTCGTTTTCCCGATCAGCTGTAAATTACATGGCCGGATGTCAAACGGCGGTTTCCAACATTGTGATGTCGATTGTGGTTCTCCTCACTGTGAAATTCCTAACCCCTCTTTTCGAGTATACACCAAATGCGATTCTATCTTCGATTATTATTTCTGCTGTCATTGGGCTAATCGATTACGATGCTGCGATTCTGATTTGGAAAATCGATAAACTTGATTTCGTCGCGTGTATGGGAGCGTTTCTTGGCGTCGTTTTCAAATCTGTCGAGATTGGGCTTTTGATTGCTGTATGAATCAAATCATCCTCATCTTTGAAATTTAAACTCTTCCAGGGTTTTATCATCCCGACCATTGATAATTCTCGTTTTGTTGAATTATCAGGTCATAATATCTTTCGCTAAGATTCTTCTTCAAGTTACACGCCCACGAACTGCTATCCTTGGAAAGATTCCGATGACGAGCGTTTACAGAAACATCGGACAATATCCGGAGGCGATTAAAGTTCCCGGTGTTCTGATAGTTAGGGTTGACTCTGCTATTTACTTCTCCAACTCCAACTACACGAAAGAAAGGTAATGCATTTTCGCAAAGTTCCATTAATTTGATGAATTTTGAAACATTAGGGCTATAAATCGAGTACTTTATTGCAGGATATTGAGATGGCTAATTGAGGAAGAAGATAATCTAAAAGCAAATTACGAACCAAGGATTCAATTTCTCATAGTTGAAATGTCACGTAAGAAGCTTGATTACCTGTAATTAGGTTTACGTTTTGCTCTATTCGATTCATCTTCTTCATATCTCCTTCGCCTAATTTCAGCTGTTACCGATATCGACACCAGTGGAATCCGTGCCTTTGAAGAACTATATAGGAGTTTGCAAAAGAGAGATGTTCAGGTAACTAATTTCTTATCCGATTAAATAATGTTTAAAAAACATAAAAGGAAAAATAAATTATATTAAGAAAAAATAAATTAAAACAAATTTGAAAAGAGTTAAGAATTATGTTATTTCATTATTTCTATATTAAATATAAAAAAATATATACATAGTTAACTAAATTAAATTGGTTGTTTGTTTACCACATCTGTCGAACAAGATATGCACTAGTGTTACGAAAGAAAACTGTTTGTTTTTAAAAAACTGAAGTTTAAAAAACTAATTTTCTTTTTAACAAATAGTTTTTTCATAATTCTAATTTTATAACATGAAAATACAACAGCTTGTTCTTGCAAACCCTGGTCAACTTGTGCTAGACAAGCTATATGCTGCGGGTTTTCCTGAGCTGATAGGCGAAAACAAGATTTTTCTCACCGTTGGAGATGCTGTTCACACGTGTGCACCAAAGATTGCTCATGACGTGTAAACTTATTGGCAAAATATGAACACTAACGAAGAAGTATAAAAATGTATACAACTTAAAAGGTCACTAGTTCAAATTGTTCTAGATGAATAAAGGTATCACAACAAGTACATACTTAAGGGATCATTGGGATGTATGCATTTGGAGTATTGATATTAAAAAGAAAATGGGGTATAAAAGTACCTGTATACTCCTAGTATATAGACGAAGAGTCTATTTATAGTAACTAATTTTAGTTCATGCTCCCTTAGTTCATTTGCTTTGTTGAATTCATAGATGTAATGATTTTTGTTTGAATGCAAAGGAAAGACTACAATAATATATTGGAATGTATGTATGATTTTGAATTATAAGTTTCTACGAGTTTTCATTAAGAGAATATTAGTAATTTTCTTACCGAAATTTTAGTAGATCGAAACTTCTTTGTCTAGTTTAAGCAAAATGGATAAAAACTTTAATGTTTGTATATTACACACTTGTTTGATGAACCTTTCACATACATATACTCTTCAATCTCGATCCGTGTAATTGTGAGTTTTTTTTTTTTTTTTCATTATTTTTTCTTGTTCAAATAAACATGTATGATTGAAACTAAAAAAATGGTCAGGTTTAGATCGTGAAAATACTAGTACATGGTTAATATAAAATATCTTATTCGATTAAAAATGTTGAATTTTACGATAGTGTTTGGTATGTAATAATTAAAGAGGTAATGAAATATAATATGTTAATACATGAGGAGTAGTTGTAAGTCCATTACTATTGTTAATAGAGAAAAATATAGCTTGAGTACATGAAGTCCATTACAGTTGTTATTAGATAAAATGGTAGTTTAAATAGCTATAAATTCATTATTATTGTTATTAAAGAAAATGGTAGTTAGTGTAACCGTAAATTCATTGTCGAGTTTCTTGATGGATTGAGTAGTCGTAAAGCAAGTCTAGTCGTTGTACAGTTATAACATTATAGTTGAGAATTGTTAATTGATAAATATATCTAGAGTAGTAGTACACCTAGCAATTGGTGCATCTATATGATTATACAATGTATATATATATATATATATATATATATATATATATATATATATATATATATATATATATATATATATATATATATATATATATATATATATATATTGAGTTGTGTGAAAGGCATATGGATTATGGAGATTTTAATTGAGTTTGTGTTTGTATTTCCTTATTGTGATCATTTTGATAATTACTTGTACTACATTGTTAATAAAAATATACACTAGTACGATTTATAAAAGTCGGATGTTACATAAATCAATCAAAAATAGAATGATTTATGGTGACATTAAATATTGTTATTATTTTGAAGATACTAAAGAAAATTTGTTGAATGACATAATTTGTTACAAATAATATATATTTTTTGTTATTGGATTTTGTAATAGATTTTGTAATATGTGCTTTGAGAGCATATATAAGAAGCATTAATGTCAATGAAAAAAAAAAGTACAAAAATAGCTCTATTTGATGCTTATAATCGTTTTTCCGTCTTCATTTACCTTGAAAACTCAGTTTAAACAAGAGATTCTACTCCTGTTTTATTCGTTCCAACGTGGATAACTATGTGTATACATACAAATGGTGATCTTAAAAGTATATACCATTTAAGCATACATATACATACAGGTGCTTATTTATATTTGCGATTTGATAAAACAAGATCAAAGTGAAAAATGTGTTTAGACATCCTCAAGCATATACTGCTACGAAAAGAGAAGGCAAAAATGAAGAAACGAATGAAAGAGAAGGTGAAATACGAGAAAGAAAAAGGAAAGAAAAGAGAAGAACTACACAGAAAGAAGAAGAAACAAATGAAATCAGAGATCAAACAGAAGCAAAACAAAGCAAAAGCAGAAAAGAAGAAACAAAAGAAGAACAAAAACAAATGCTTCAACTTATGAATTCTTCATCCATTTATTTGTATAAATAATAAGAGTAGACAATTAACAATACATGTATGTGATAGTATTATACAAATTATGCAGAAAAATAAACCTCATACAATTCAAACTATTTTTAATTACCCTATCACCTTATCAATACATGCATTATATACACCGTTCGAAAGGCTTTTCAGTTCGCTGGAAATGTCAAACCACCGGTCAACGGGTGGAATATTCCGATGAGTTTGTCTACATTTCCTACTCGATGACTCGCCGGAGTTCTTCAATTAACTTACTTTTAGTCGCCGGATCCACCTTCATTTTAACAAAAACAACACATCAAAACACAATCATCATTTTCTAAATATCAAGTCTTCAAAATTTGTAAGAAAACAACAATTTACTTACCTCTTTCAAAAGTTTAGCAATTCCTAGTGGCAAAGCTTCAAGATCCAACTGTGAACTACTAATTTTCAACAACTGATTCGAGACCTTTTCTCTTCTTAACTCGGCTAATTTCTCATCATAATTCTCGGGATTATCTTTCCATGTGAAAAAAACATCATCATCACCCCAAAACTCATCCGATTTCATCTCCAAAAACCACTTCTTAATCATCTCATGACCGGATTTATACGAAAGCGTGTCTCCGGCCGCCTCCCTCGCGGTGGTGATCAGAGCAGCCTCCGCGAGCCGCCGCCGGAGTCTTTTATAGAAGAAAAACCTCGAAACGTTCCAATCAACAACATTCTTCACAACACCTTTCGCAGCCATGCGAAACGAAGTATCATGAAGCTCCGCAAATTTTGTCGCGATTTGCGTGTAAATCGGCAAAAGCTGTTTCTCACGCGCCTTTATCTGCTCCACGATCGAATTATCATATTTCAATTCTTGTAACTTTAATTTAAGCTCTCGGATCCGCGGGTCGACCCGGCCCATACATTCCAACAACTCACGGTTTCTAAATTTGATTTCAATCATACCTTCGGGTTCTAGAACATTCCCTTTTGCGGTTGTTTCCGCATACATTTCTATATAGTCGGAATTAATCCGGCTGTCAACAACCACCCAAGCACCACCACGAAGCTCACCGGTTTTCGGTATGTACACAAAAACCGGTTGTTTATAAGTTCTTAAATTCTCAACAATCGTGGACCCCGCTTGCAAAATCCCTTCAAAAAGATCCCGTTGACCCGCCGAAAATCCCCGCCAATTCGCCATGATAAAAAGCGGAAGCTCTTCGCGGTTAAAATCCATCAAAGCTTGCGCGGTTTTACTCGCGGAATCCGGGAACCACACCTGCCCGGCTTGCGGGACTACCCGTTCATGCGAATCAAGCTGCCCGGGATCCGCGGGTATAATTTGCATAACCGTCTGTGTCTCAACCGCCACAATCCCGACCGGGATCCCACCGAGTTTCGCCCGCCCGGTTACAACCGTCCGGGCCCACCCTTCCAAAGTCTCCACGAAACTATTTTTGTCAAAAATACCCCCGGCCCAGTTCCCATTCCCGTCCACCGTCCCGCAAATAGCTGCCCGAGGGTCGCACGAGTTTTCCGGCAGATACTCGACGGGCCGTTCAGGCGGGTCGGTCGGGGCTAAAACGGGAAGCGGGCCCCCGACGTAAGCGGGAACAAAGCTTAACCAATTTAAGATTGCTGACACTCCTTTTAAATCGTCTGAAACAGTTAAGTGAACAACTCCATTTGTGGCCATGATTTTTGGACCTCCTAATTGCATTTGTGAGCTGTAAACTTCACGCCCCAAAAGTTTGTTTAAAGCGGAAAATCCCGTTAAAATAATTGGTTGATCAAGGCGTTGTATGCAACGCATCCCAAGGCGGGCCAAATATGCCCCAATACCCACAGTTCGACCCGTTACATATGTTAACGTGAAAGTTTCCTTATATGCCCTGGAATACGCGCCCGCAATCGCTCCACTTCCGCTCAAATTCTCTACCCCTAATCCGTCTTCTTTTCCCACAATTGTATCGATCACCCATCGAGATTCACCATTGGTGAGATTAACTTCATGAGCGATTACAGATGATTTGATCTGGGTGTAATCTTCGGGTGTTAGGTAAAGATATTGGAACCCTGAATCAGGGTTTGACTCGTCTGACCAACCGATTTTGAAACAAGATCTGACCTCTTCAGCTGCCCCGATGCGGGCCCCGGAGTTGGCTGCCAGATAGATGAGGGGTAGTTTTTTGGCGCACGCGAGATCGGTAACAGCTTCGAAAAACGCGTCCTCTATAGGCCCAAAAGATCCGTTTTTGAATGTGACATCATTTGCAACCACCAAAATTGCCCTTCCTTTAGGGAACTCGGGTGTACAAAGCTCCATGATCCATGCCACCATGCCTACATTGTTTTGGCCTGGCTCACGTTCTATGGAAACAAGAGGTGTGCCCCACGAGCCTTTCGGATCAGAAAACGCGAGCTCTGTCACATTTACGAGTTTGCCCTTGGGCCTGGTGTCAGTAGAAAGTCTCAATGACCAAATTTCCTCAAGAGCTGCTTCAAATGCCTGCAAATGAAAAGATTTACATCTCTTTAAACCCTAAGTGCTTTGTTACTTTCAATTTAATGGAACACTAGGGTGAACTTAAATCAGGGGGTGTAATAATGGGAAAGGGTAAAATGGTAATTTTGTACCAGTGCAAAGTCGTAGCAGTATGTAGTGTTGCTTTTCCTGGCTAAAAGACGTTTCTGATCGAGTAATTTCAAAGGCTGAAAAGGTGTGTTGAGAGGGACACCATGTAAAGGGCCAGATGTAGAGGTTGCATGATACACCACCTTGTGTTTATCATCCTCAAGTTCCCGATAAACCTGAATAAAAGTATTGACTTTGTAAAAAACTGTTTTTGACTATTGTTGAAATGTCTAAAATACCCTTGTAACGACTTACATGTACAATACACGTATGACCAGTGACATTCGTAACCACAACCCTCCATTCACCATTAGCTTGACCAGAAGATGCCATGCAAAGTTTGACCTCCCATTCAAAAACACCTAATCGGTGCATCTTTACACCTACAAGTGTGTGTATTTCACGTGCTAATTTCACCAAAAGTGACTCCACCGCCCCTTCTTCTGTCCCGGGGTCCACATCTACTCTCCTGCTGTAAGGGACAAGATCATCAATTTGTTGTTCTTTTAGTATATAAAGATACATGTGAGCATGGTCAGATTTGACTGTGGCATTATGAACATGAAGCTCCAACTCTTCCATGGCTGTGACTAGAGATCTCAAGATGCTTCTTGAAGTATAAGACAAAGTCCACTGAGATTGTGGGCCCGCAATGTCAGAACCTTGGTATCCTGAAAACCATTCCTTTGTTGGTTGTCTTACAAGTGTCCTAAGAAACATTCTTTGAATTGGAAGTGGTTTTGCTTCAACTGTATACATGTGCCATTGTCGATCACGCGATGGTGTGTACTTTATGTTCTCATACCCCTTAAGTTTGTCCTGAACCCAAAAAAAAAATAATAATAATAATAATTCATTTCGCATGGGCAAAACGGTAAATAATTGTTACATCGAAAAGGTCAAAGCTTTATTGTTTAGTTTGTTGAAAGAAAAAGAAGAGAATGAAGGGTGTTATGAATACAAAGTTACAAACCAGTTCAAGATAAATTGATAAAGGAGGCTCCAAGTGTCGCAATAATGGCTCTTCAATATAATAAAGATTCTCTTCTGACCAATGAAACGAGTGTCTCATTGGTCCTCTTCCTTCATCTCTTTGAATAATACAACTTATAACTCCATACCCTGCGTTTTTTAGACTCGAGCTAACTTCTTTATCTTTGAGAATTTTTGCTAACTTGTTGACTCGCTCTTGAGCCTGATCCTCATCGCCACTAAAAAAATTTCATTCAAGGGTATTTTAGTCATTTCATAACCGAATATTTAACTGAAATATGCCGTATAGTACCTGTCTTGAAGTGAACTCATCTGGTTGCTAATTCCAGCCAATGCAATGTGCATCATGTTACCATGGTTGTTAGGATCAGATAAACCGTTTTGACTTGTGCCTTGAGATTTATTTGTTGTTTCTTTAAGAGCTGCTTTTATCACATCGGGTAAAACAAGAAGGGATTTGATGATAACCATAGCTCCCCATTTCTTCTCCACCAAGGGCTTTTCGGTCATTTCATAGTCAGACACATTGACCTCCTCGATATGCCCTTCCATGAATTGCCACGAAGCAATAAGACCGGATTTGTGCCACTGCATTCTAACACTCCCCTTGGCAAGATACGGCTAAAGATAGACACATAAGTCAGTATAATATCAAAAATTACAGATTTGCCCCTTGTCCACAAGATTCATTTGAAGGGTACCTGATACAATCTTCGAACATAGGTCTCAACAACGCGTCTTTGAAGGGTGTGATCACTATGGTCAAAAAGACCAACAAGGGCATCTTCAACTGCAAGTGGAGCACTCACGATATCCTCCATTCTTTCATTAATGGCACTTTTCCTCTTAGGGGTATCCATATTTTCACCTTCTTCTGTAAACATCTCTAATTCAGAAAGACTTCTAGCAATGCTTGAACGAAGTTCACTTAATTTAGTCTGTTCCAAAAGTTGACTTGCCTTCAATGCTAACTGAAAAATAATAAGATCAAGAACTACAAATTAGTTAATAAGAGTTTCAAGAAATGTTTATGAGTGTGTATGTTAAATGACGGATTTGACCTCGGAATAATTTGTGTGGTTGAGTGTAGAAAAGCGTATCAGTTTATCCCTATATGCAGCTGGATTAGGGTACACTAAATTCTCCATTAGTCTTAGTATCAACTTGTTTTTACTCTTAACACCCTGTATGGAAATAAATTAATGGTTATATAAATTAAAAATTACAAAACTTTATTAGAAGAAAACATCAAATACCTGATGGGAAAGCACAATGTCAACAACCCTCAAACGATCTTTCTTGTATTGAAGTCGAAGGCGTTCGATGACATCAGCCTGAAGAGTAAAGTTTTTTTTTTTTTTAAATATCTATATGAAAAAATGTAGAAAGTATAAAAATAAAAATAAAAACTCACCTGAATGTTGTCATTGAATAACTCTTCAACTAATAAATACTCTTCAAAAAGAGCATGAACAATCCCACGTGCATGACTCTCTCTTCCACCTTCATATGACTTCACAAGACTCATTAATGGCTCAATCAGCCTTTCTTGACCTCCTTTTTCCTTCTCTGAGCAAGATCCAAGGTGACTCTGAAAAAACAAATAACAAAAGTTAATCATATAACTAAATTAAAATCTTTAAATATGAAAAAGATAGAACTATATTAATCATAAACTAACCTCTAGAATGCCACGTAAAACTTTAGCAGGAAAATCGATAGTTTGTTGTGTGGAAATTCCTTCATACTCCTTCAACTTTGATTCCAACTGTGTTTAAACATATTTATACAATTAGAAATAGTCTTCTGAAGTTAAAAAATTGAAAGAAAATTACTATTTACCTTGTTTTTAAGATCTTTATGGAGTCGATTTGCTAAAACTGCAAAACATTCTTGCCATTGAAGGAAAGGAAGCTCGGGACTATCTAAACAATGGAGCAGATTCTTCATAACCTAAAATCAAAGAATAAACCTGTTAACAAAATAAGTCGAATAACAAAAAATTAAAGAAAAGTAAAACAAAATAAATCTTGAATTTACTTCATCAATGTTGTGATCATATCCTGCAAGAATCATTCTTGCAGCACTTAAAGTAGCTGCACATTTTTGATGAACTTTATCTGAAATTGCAGTTGGAGGTCCAAGAACAGGAAAGCTTCCATGAAAAGGCTCTGCTTTTCTTACAGCTGATGGATCATCAAGATCAAGATTTGCTATAAGTTCACCAGCCTACAAAATCAAGAAAAAGAAAAAAAAAAATTACTTTTTGTTTACTCAAGATTTGTTCATAACATTTAATATTTTCATTTGTGTGGGTCCCACTGACCTGCATGGCTTGACCTTCAGACATCTTGAATTGAATAACACCAGAAGCTGGAGAGAGAAGTGGCATACACATCTTCATAACTTCCACCTCAGCATATGGTGAGTCAGCATCCACGTGGCTTCCATCTGAGACTAAGTATCTTAAAAGCTTGCATGGTGTTTCCGCCATTAGTTTGGAAGGATCATGATCATTCTAGAAACAATTAATACAAATTTAGTAAAATAAATTATTCAAAAAAAAAAAAAAGTAATTGGCACCTGAAGCAAGCAAGTTCTTCCATCTATCAAAAGACGAGTTCCTGCTGCTTCTTCTTCTGCATATATAATATGACTATTTCCATCCAACTACAACATTCAATCATAAATTATGAGAAATGTACTTTGTTTATTGGAAATGACGAGAGTACCCTTATAATAATACCTGCATTAATAAACCACCATCACGTAGAGTATGTATCTCTGCTTCAATCTCAGATTGATTCATTCTTAATCTATAACCACCTGGTCCTCTTTTTACCATATCAATCTAAGAAAAAACAATGCATGAATAATAATAATTAATTAATAATAAAGAAAAAGATCAAACAAATCAAGAAAACAATATGTGTTTATGTTGTTTGTTACTTTACTTACAGTGTATCTACTACCCTCAATATTCAAAGAAACTTGGGAGTTGACCAATGATATATGCTGCAATCAAATAAACAAACTCACAATTATGGATTGATTCAAAACATTCTAACAAAATATCTTTCACAATTCTAAAATTCTAAAATTCACATATGCATTGTAATTTTATACCTTTGGAGGGATTTGCCCCTTTTCAAGATAACCAACATAGTCTGACACCATGGCTGCACTTCTAGCAGCCGCTTTCTGAGGTCAACAAAAGTCAATTGTAAAGTCAATGGTAAAGTCAAAGATGAAAATTTTTAAAAAAAAGGGTAATAACTAATAAGAATATAAGGTTACTGAACTCACATAAAGAGCTCCTCCAACTACTGAAAGATACCAAGGAGGTCTTTCTGCTCTAACTCTCATGGCAATTCGGCTATCTAACCAACCTGTATGTATTTTGTTTTCTCTATAATCTGGAGCCTACATTATAAAATTTTATATATGTAATTGAATTAAAGTGATTGATTATATTAAATGGATTCGAAAAAGATTGGATCTTGAAATCACAAAAATGCTTACATGTAATAGATCGATTGTATAATCAACATTAGTTCGGATTTCACCACGAATTTGAATTTCTTTCAACCCAAGAACCATATTTGCAATAGCCAATGTTCTAGACTCTCCAAATGCAAAAACATGACCTAAGACACATACAAAAAACATTAAAAAAGATCAAACATTTGTAAAAAAAGAAAACAAACAAACAAGATTCTTAGTTCTTACCAAATTGAGAATCTGAGAATTCATGAATGCCACCTCCCGATTTGACAGAAAAGTATGCCCAAACATTTGGCTTACTTTTAAAACTTAGCTCCTAAAAGTTATAATTCAAATCAATAAGGTAAGATTGTTTATTTATGTGTAGGAAAAAGATTTTTTTTTTTTTCTTTTGCAAACCTGAACTTTCCCACTAGTGGGCTTGAATCCATCATCTGGATCTTCACTTGTTACACGAACAGCAACACAATGACCCTTTGGTTTAGTTGACTCTGCTTTGTCAAAGTCAAAGGGAGTTGCATGAACATATGTTTGCCTCCATGCATCATACCCTCCACTATTATCCTTCCCATAAAATCGCCTTATTTCTATAACAATACAAAAACACATCAACATAAAATCATTTCAAAAGAAATTTTCAAAGTTTGATATAAATATAATATAATACCTGGAATTTGCCAAAGAGGAATTCCCATTCCAACTGCAACTTGTGCTGCAGGAAGATTAATTTCTGCAATCCACTCAGTAACAGGATGCTCAACCTAAACAAATGTAGAAATTCCCCAAAAGGGTATATGTGTATATCATTAAATCTTTGATTTAAACATAAATTCAGTAGTTAAAAGCTAAAATCTTTCACCTGTAAACGTGGATTGAGCTCCAAAAAGTAATAGTCTCCAGTTTCCATACTATACAAATACTCTACAGTTGCAGCTCCAACATAATTCACTGATTTAGCTAATCTTCTTGCAGCTTGCTCCAGCTTCTTTATTGTCTCATTTGGAGCTATAGTTATTGGTCCCTCTTCGATAATCTTTATAAGAAAATATAAAAAGTTTAATAAAAGACAAATCATTCTAGTGTATAAGTTTCATTATCATATAAATACCTTTTGATGTCGCCTTTGAACACTGCAATCACGACTATGTAAAGCTGCTACATTTCCATGTTGATCACAAAGTAGTTGAACTTCCAGATGTCGACTCTATTGTTTTTTTTAAAAAAAAATATTATTAGGATAGATTTAGAGTTTAAAAAACTACATAAAGATAGTAAATTAAAACGTTTTTTCTCACCTGAGAAGCAACTTTCATTATAAATATAGGAGAACCAGGGACTTCACCCTGAACTTGTTTGAAAAGCGCCTTCACTTCTTCATCATTATGCACCTAAAGTGTTGGAAGTCAAAAACTAATCCGTTGACTTTTAAAAAAGTCAAAAGTGGGAATGATTTATAAAAAAAAATGTAAAATTGCACACCTTTCTTATGCCTTTACCACCTCCACCCCATGATGCCTTGATCATTGCAGGATACCCAACAACTTGGCAACTAGCAATTGCTTCTTCTGTTGTATATACACAAGCTTTTCTATATACATCATCTGGAATTGTCACTAAACAGCTATCACCAGGAATTTTCACCTAAAAGATTTCATTTTTAAACAATTAGAATCATAAAGATTATTGTAAACCTAAAAAAGACTACTCAACAATAGCCAAATCCCAAAAGAAAAATAGAGGTTTTGACTACAGAAAAAGAAACAGATACAAGCAATAAAGCTGACAATAAATAGTAAATCTTGTACTATACAAAAAACACAAACAGTGAAAGCAGATACTGGCGATAAAGCAGAAAGCAGATACTGGCAATACAAGCTTACATGAGAACCACTCCAAGGAAGTGTAGGCACATCAGCCGCCTGTGCAATTAAAGAAGAACCGATTTTATCACCTAAAGCCGCCATTGATGAAGCAGGTGGGCCCAGAAATATGATTCCCTTTGCCTCTAAAGCATCCGGAAGCTCAGGGATTTCAGATGCATGGCCCCACCCAGGCCAAACAGCATCAACATGTGTTATTTCAGCAGTCTGAAAATCATCAATTCACCATTTTTTAAATTGTTATTCATCACCAAATGTTATATAAAAAAAGACTAAATACCTCTACAATGAGTTGCACATTGGCATAATTATTGTTATTTGTGCCACCTGGGACTTCAACAAATTGATCTGCAATTCGAATGTGTTCTGCATTTATTCTCATGTCTTCTGGTGTAGCCATGGCGACTAATAGAATTGCTTTTTCTGAACCAAATGTTTCATAACTCCATGTTCTTACACTTCTTATGAACTTCACAGCTGCCATTCCATTGTTTGCAATTAAAATACTGTGAATTGGGTTCTTTCCATTGAGTGCGTTACAGAATTCATCAATGGCAGATCTTGTTGCAGGTGATCTTAGTGAAATCGCCAAGTTTTTGTAGCCATTTCCGTTATTGAAACTTCCATTTACTGTTAATCTTTGAGCTTCTGACATGTTGCCACCTCAGCATACACACTGGAAATTAGAGGGATTAAGTTTAGAACAAGATTAGTTTGACTTTTCAGGTCAAACGAAACAACACCTTTTCAAGGTTAATACAGTAGTTGACTTGACAGTGACTATCAAGACTCGTGAAAAAATTTCAATTTTGGAGCGAAAATTCATAACCCTGTCAAAGTATGTATGAAGTATAAGAAAATGGATGTTAATTTGAATTTGGAAATTACTAATTTTGATGTTGGATTATTTTCAGGAAAGAACATAGGAAGCTCCGATCATTGATCCAATCTAGAAGTGTGATCCACGGGATCAGAAAGTCAAAGTGAAAATATTAAAATTATCAATTTTGTGTGTAAACCCTAGTTCAAGTTGAATTTTCTATGATAATACGTAAGTTGATAAAATAGAGTCGAATCAAATCCAGGTGATCAGTGCAAAAGCACATTAAAAAACTGTAACCCAGCTGAATTCATCAAAGATCCTCCAAGAAATTAAATTCCCAGATACAAAAACATTAATTCAGGTTAATTAAGCAGCATACGAAAGCGAAATCACATAGATGAAGTTTTAAGAGGATGAAATGACTTACACCCGGTAAAAAAATAAAACCTTACACACTGTTTTCTCAAACGAGTTCTCAACTACTTAAATCAACAAAATTCGGAAACCCCATTTCAAAAATCAGAATAATTCGAACAAACAAAAACCCAAATTCTAAAAACTTGGCAGCATTTCGGGTGGAAGAGTAGAACGACTAACCGTAAAGAAGTGTAAGAAGAGTCCAGTCCTTTTATGCAATAAGAGGCATAAAGATTTTGCCTTTTAAGCTGCTTTAAACAGCTAAAAGAATTGACAAGAAGAAGAGATCAAAACAGATAGAGCAGAGTTTGGAATGGCGGAAATCTGGGAGAGATGCGAGTAGTTGTAGGGGAATGCAGAATGGGGGGTGGAATTAAGTGTGGTTTGGTTGGGGGTTTGGTTTGTTTGGTTGGTTTTTGGTGAGGCGCCTTAAAGAAACATAAATGGGGCATACGCAAAGGGGTCCAACACCGCGAGGTTATGCATGGCACGTGCCGTCCACCCCCCACCACCCCCTCCCATCCACATCTTCGGAAACGTATATGTTTTTTATTTGAAAACTTGTGATTAAAACTTTGAAAGATGATTGTACTTTTTAATATATATATATATATTATTTACTTATTATTTGATTTATAGGTCAATTTGAAGATGAGCATATAAAAATGATTTTTCATGTGGTATGCATTTTGAACTTTCCCGAAGAAGGATAATGATTTAATTAAGGTCTAATAAAAAACTATGTTCAAGTGTTGGGTGTCATTAGACAATATGTTTTTTTTAAGTATTTAATTTTCTTAATACTTAACTTTTAATTATTTTGATAAATGTTTATCGAATTCGATGTATGCTGCTCTAATTTGTCATTTCAAGAATCGCATTCTTGAGCATCTACAAGTTTGTGTAATGCATGTAAAGTATCTACAAGTTGATAAAATAGAGTGATAAATGATTTTTTTATTTAGTAAATTCAAAAAATACCACTCATATATCTTCCATTATGTGAATATTCGTGAACTTGGTTGCTAAAGAAGGCTAACTTAACAATTACAAAGCAACATTCACAATATACTTTTGATATTCTATTAGGATGAGACAGGGAGATAAATATAAATCATACATTCATAAATGTATAGTCGTATAGTGATTGTTTAAAATAGATGACCGCGTGCAATATATGAACATGTATAAACCATAATTATTATATGAATATATGAATAAATATGATGCAACCGTTTGATATGAGCAATCGTTTGATATGGGCATGATAATAATTGGTTAATTAAATTAATTATTATTTAAATTAAATTTATATAATTCAGGAAACTTAATCATTATCTTTAAAATCCATTACTTCATGTCATCATCCTTATTAATCTCTACACCATTACGAATCAACCGGCCATATCTTTCTTCACCACTAACCTATCACCATCATCACCAATACACGACGCCACCAATCTTCGTATTATTTACTCCAAACCTATATCACAATCGTTGCCTCCTCCTAGTTGTCGGAGCACTCATCGAAAGGAAATCATGACAACACATACATAGCTTGTGGAGATTGATTCTGTATTTTCATTCTCACTTGGAAGTTGGGCCTACAGCTCAATTCTTAGTGTTGAGTATAAACTAAAATGACACTTTTTCATAATTGAGTTTTTTGCATATTCTTTTCAGAATGCATGGTACTTTAGAACTCATATCAAGAATATCTTATTTGTTTATCAAAAATTATTTGGAATTAATTTTGAGATTAATTGGACTAATTAAAGATACAAGGACTAAAGATGTAATTGTCCAAAAGTTGAACAAGAGAAGGATTCTAGATCCTTCCTAGGGTGGCCGAATTTTGGCTTGCCATTAGGGTTTCTAGAATACTACATGTGAACAATTAGGAAAGTAGATAAATACCAGATTTGAAATAATATTATTTTATTTTAAATTAGGTTTTTTAGGGTTTTCCTATCAGATATAAATAGGACTCTCTGAGTGCCTCATTTTCGTCCAACCTCTCACACACAATAAGAGCCAAAATTTTGCTCCCCTCTCCTCTCTCCTCAAGTCTTCTAATTGTTATGGTTTGGGTACAAACCATTAGTGGCACTAAGCTTTTGGTGCTTACTTTCTAAGGCTTTTGAAGAAGGATTTTATTTAGTTATTTATTATAATAATCAAAAGGTATGTAACTCTAAACCTATATAAATTTTGATTATTATAGTCTGCATTTACGGTTCTTGATTTTCATATTTTATTGCTATTAATTAGAGAAAACATAGATCATTTATAGGTTGTATGTGCGCTTAAGAATTAAGTTTTTCCGCTTCACGTGTTTTGTTATAACATATAAAACCCATCACTTATAACTCTACTTTGTTAAACTGGAAACATATATAATTGACATAAACTAATGAAATTGATAGATTTTAAATAACAAGATTGAAGGAAAGATGGCTTGAGAAAACATAAAGCTCTATTGAATGAGGATAATATATATGCAATTTCGGAATATGTCAATTTGTATAAGCCAAAATTCTAATGTGATGGTCTTAATATTGTTCATTTGGTGTTCTAAAGTTATATAATAATGTCTTGTACATCTATGTATATTATAAATTATGAATATTGTTTATGAGATATACCAAAAATATTATAAAAAGAATACTATGAAGAGTGTTTTTTTTGTAATTATGTGCTTCTATAGTTAATCAATTACTCTATTAGATATAAGTAAATTATCACATACTTTTGAAATGCATAAAAGATTTGGGTGACCTAGCAAATATTTGGTACATAGAAAATGGTCTAATATAATTAATTAATTTATATGTCTCAAAATAACTATCATAAAATATTTGGTTTTAAAATATTATAATTTTTGTGTGCTTGAAATAACTTTAGTAACAATAAGTTTTATTTGTGTCATATAATTTTATTATTTCATTTATATATATTAGAACTTTAGTTTCCTTTTATTTATTTAAACCGTGGAGATCTACGTAGATACATAACTCAACTTCATGAAACAATGATTTCTCAATGAATATGCTCTAATAATAGTTCTACAGTAAATATATAAGATGTAATTAACAAAATACTAATATCATGTAACTTTAAAATATATGTCTCCAAAATAAATAAATAAATAAAATATATGTCTCCAAACTATCTTTAAAAAAATATGTATCGCTAAAAGTATTGCAACACCTACATTTTTAAATCACATTATTTACTGTGGTTGCAACAATACAATCATTGTAAAATATGATTTAACAAAAACCTTTTAAATTATGATAGTTAAAACACTTTGATGTTACATAATCAATAACATCAACCATAGTAAAAAAAAAAAAAAAAGGATTATACTAACACATCTAGATCCAACATAGTCCTTCTTGTTGGACATATGTGTCCAATGTCATAACTAATTGGTGTAACTTTAAGAATAATGTCAAAGTCCTTTTTAGGTTGCCTTTAAAAGTAATAATAGCTAGAAATGATTTTAGGAGATTAAGGAGAATGTTTATTAATTTATTATATAATTAATAAATTAACTGATAACTAGTGAAATTAATTAGAATAATCTGGAATTAATTTAGGATCAATTGGAATTAATCTGGAGGTACATGGACTAAATGTTAATTATTCAGTAATTGAACAATGGGAACATTCTAGAAGTCCTATATGGTGGACGGTTTTGGGTGGGTTCTAAAATCCTTTCAGAAGCTATACAAGTAACAGATAAGGCAGTTATTTGAATTTGGATTAAATCCTAATATTTAATTGATTCAAATCAGGGTTATCTTGTTACCTCCTGAACTATATAAAGGGGCCTAGGGGAACTGGAATTTTCATCCAACCCTAACTCCTGGAAGGCTAAAGAATTCGATCCCCCTCTCCCTCTTGGCTTTTGAGTGTAAAACATTAGAGGAACTCTACTTTGGGTACTAGTCTTTCAATAATCAATAAGAGATCAAGGAATCAAGCATCAAGAAAGACAAATCGATTTTATCTAGGGTATGTATTTGAATCCCTCTCCTATAGCTTGATAAGTTAGTTTTAAAAGTGCATTGACATAATAGTAAAACTTAGAACCATATGGTGCATGCACACTTAAAATCTAATCAAGTCAAACAACACCATAACCACAAGATTTCGACCATCCATGGACTGTATACCCTAAATCCCAAAATAAAATCACATAACTATACGTTGCACCTCCTGTAACTACCATCATATGTCTAGATCCGAGGGAAAAATCACTTCATTACTCTGTCAGGAAGCTTAAGCGTGGTATCATTTTTCACCAGTAGCACCAATCCCACTCCCTACTTCTGCTAGTAGAGTCACACGGTCGTCCGGACCTAAATCTTCCCAAAACTATGATTGCATTCACACTATAATTATAGAAGACTCATCATGAGTAAAAGTCAATTAATAATCACAAAATTCCCTTATATCATACAAATATCAATACCCAAGAAGGTGATGTTCTATACTCCCACAAGCCTCACTAATTAATCGTCTAACCATTTATTAAACTAACCTTACTGAACAATTAGTAATATATAACCATAATATTCAAAATATTTTAATCACCAAAGTTCCCACTTTTTAAAATCAGAAAAACTTGGAACTCAAAGATTCACATTTACAAAAACATTTACCCAAAAGAGACTTACTTAATAACGGCTATCATCATACATAAAGTATTATAACTTGTTATATACCTGGAAAATCCACAAGTACTCACCTAGTTGGTTAGTGAAAACTAACTATTATCATGGTCTTAAGCTCTACGCTACTTCACCATCTGTCACCTTGTTAACACCTATTTACATAATATACCAAGTTCCTCAAAACTTGTTTCGACTAATTGGTAGCTTAATTAATATATTCACCAAAGTGATCATTCACCGGACAACTAACAAATATTGGTAACTATTTGTCACTAAACCAATCAATCTTCCAAGTATGATTGCTAAACGGTTTAACCTTGTATGCTTCGTCACTAGAATTACGACTAGCCAAGAATCCATCTCTTATATTACATGTCACGTTGTTGCTACACTTATACACAATTGAACACCATACTTCGCATCGCGTCTGAACAAACTTGCGTTACAACCTGGTTGACTTTCTTTGACCAAATCTTGACTTTGACTTTACGTGGGTCGCATTCAAAACACTGGCGCACCGTGTTTTACCCTTTTAAGGGAATTCTAACTTTAAGAAACTTCTTCTTTCTCATCACAACAACCAACTTTTACCAAGTTATACATGTTATGAAAACAGGTGTTACAACTATTTACTTGGTTGACTTTTCGTTATAAAAAAGATCTATGTAAACTTCATCATTTTTTTATAAATTAGTTAAATGTTGTATGCTGAGCATAAATACAAATTTATGGTAACAACATCGACATATATATAAAG